CAGGAACTATGCCCTGGCCATGGCTGGGAATGAGACCAACTGGGACCCTGCTCCCTGGGGCTTCAGTCTCCTGGGAGAGGTTGAGATGAGTCCAGTAATCATGGAGATTAGTACAGACTGGCCACAGTTGTGGAAGAATGATGCTTGGTGTGGGCCACAGTGTCTCATCCATGAGAACCAATCCCATACCCCTGCTTCTCATCCCCCCAAGTTTTAGAAATTAGGGCCTGGGGGGAGGACACAAGTATGTTAAGGTATGTTTCTGGGCCTGTGTTTCCTCATCTGAAAACAAATGGACATCATAGTTTCTATCTCATAGGGATGCTGTGAGGATTAACTGGATTTCTAGGCTAGATAGATCATGCCTGGTGTAGTCTATGTGCAACATAGCAGTCGTTCACATTATTATTATCATTCTCTCTTTGAAGCCTCAATCCTCCTCTTTAAATTTCAGGACCCTTTTATTTATGTATTTTAAAATTCTTATTCATTGTATTTTATTGTAAAATACTAGGGGTACTAGGGGTTGAATTCAGGGCCTCACTCATGTTAGACAAGTGCTCTATTCCTGAGCTACACCCCCAGCCCCTAGAACCATTTTAAAAAATAGGTTTACTACTTAAAAAAAAAATAGGATTTTCTCTGGAGGGCTACAGTGAAAATTAAAAACAGTTCATTATTCATCAAAAATCACAGTTAACATTTCTCCAGCGCCTCCTTTGCATCAAGCATTATCCAGCGTTTGCAAAAACTCTGGACTGGAGATATTGCAATTATGCCCATTTTACAGAGGTTGAAACTAAAGCACAAGAGAGCTTTGTCTTTGCTCAAGAGCTCCAGGTCGTTAGGATTTGGAGGGACTGGTGGTTAGGGGTGAGAGAGCTTCTGGGCTGGGTCGTGATGGCAAATGAATGGGACTCACGCTGCCTTCATGCCCCCTGTCCTCAGGAAGCTGGATGCTTTCATCTATGATGCAGCAGTGCTCAACTACATGGCCCGCAAGGATGAGGGCTGCAAGCTTGTCACCATAGGCTCTGGCAAGGTCTTCGCCACCACAGGCTATGGCATTGCCCTGCACAAAGGCTCCCGCTGGAAACGGCCCATCGACCTGGCACTGCTGCAGTTCCTGGGGGATGGTGGGGCTGCCTGCAGGGACTTCCATTTTCACATGGGAGGCGGGAGAGTGGGACCCCTGGGACCTGGGAAAGGAGAGATTGGGGACCTTGACACCAGGGTCTGCTAGATGAAGGGCTGGGGGCGTGGACTCCCATAACAGAGGGAGGAGGATCCTGAGAGAGTGTTCATAGCAGGTGACCTCTGACCCCACCTTCCCCAGATGAGATCGAGATGCTGGAGAGGCTGTGGCTCTCTGGGATCTGCCACAATGACAAAATCGAGGTGATGAGCAGTAAGCTGGACATCGACAACATGGCGGGTGTCTTCTACATGCTTCTAGTGGCCATGGGCCTCTCCTTGCTGGTCTTCGCCTGGGAACACCTAGTCTACTGGCGCCTGCGGCACTGTCTGGGGCCCACCCACCGCATGGACTTCCTGTTGGCCTTCTCCAGGGTATGTAGCGGGAGGAGACCCGCAGAGACCAGGAGGTACCGGCAGAGTTGAGGAAGGAAGGGAAGAACGTGGTGACGCAGGCGTAGATGTGGGGAGAAAGAGGCAGAGACTAATGGTAGTGGAAGGGTCCCAGGCGGAGGCCTGGAGAGGAGGGAGGCACCCCCGAGGGAGGGCAGGTGTCCTCGCATCCTGCGCTGACCCCATTCTCTCACCCGCCACACAGGGCATGTACAGCTGCTGCAGCGCCGAGGCCGCTCCTCCGCCAGCCAAGCCCCCTCCGCCTCCTCAGCCTCTGCCCAGCCCCGCGTACCCCACTGCGCGGCAGGCTCCGGGCCCCGCGCCATTCGTGCCCCGAGAGCGCGCTGCCGTGGACCGCTGGCGCCGGGCCAAGGGCGCAGGGCCGCCGGGAGGCGTGGGCCTGGCCGACGGCTTCCACCGTTACTACGGCCCCATCGAACCACAGGGCCTAGGCTTGAGTGAGGCGCGCTCCGCGCCCCGGGGTGCGGCCGGGCGCCCGATGTCCCCTCCCGCTGCGCAGCCCCCACAGAAGCCACCGCCCTCCTACTTTGCCATCGTGCGCGACAAGGAACCGGCCGAGCCACCCGCGGGCTCCTTCCCTGGCTTCCCGTCGCCGCCCGCGCCCCCCGCCGCCGCGGCCACCGGCGTCGGGCCACCGCTCTGCCGCCTGGCCTTCGAGGACGAGAGCCCGCCGGCGCCGGCGCGCTGGCCGCGTTCCGACCCCGAGAGCCAGCCCCTGCTGGGGCCTGGCGCGGGCGGCACCGGGGGAGCTGGGGGTGCGGCGGGCGGGGCCCCAGCCGCACCGCCCCCGTGTCGCGCCGCGCCGCCCCCCTGCCCTTACCTAGACCTCGAGCCGTCGCCGTCGGACTCGGAGGACTCGGAGAGCCTGGGCGGCGCATCGCTGGGCGGCTTGGAGCCGTGGTGGTTTGCCGACTTCCCTTATCCCTACGCCGAACGTCTGGGGCCGCCACCCGGCCGCTACTGGTCGGTCGACAAGCTTGGGGGCTGGCGCGCAGGCAGCTGGGACTACCTGCCCCCACGCAGCGGTCCAGCTGCCTGGCACTGTCGCCACTGCGCCAGCCTGGAGCTGCTGCCGCCGCCGCGCCATCTCAGCTGCTCGCACGACGGCCTGGACGGCGGTTGGTGGGCGCCGCCACCTCCGCCTTGGGCCGCTGGGCCCCCGCCACGGCGCCGGGCCCGCTGCGGATGCCCGCGGCCGCACCCTCACCGCCCGCGGGCCTCTCACCGAGCGCCAGCCCCCGCGCCACATCACCATCGGCACCGGCGCACCGCGGGGGGCTGGGACCTCCCGCCACCCGGGCCCACCTCGCGCTCACTCGAGGACCTCAGTTCCTGTCCCCGCGCGGCCTCCGCGCGTAGGCTCACGGGGCCCTCCCGACACGCGCGCCGGTGCCCGCACGCCGCGCACTGGGGGCCACCGCTGCCCGCCGCGCCTCACCGGAGACACCGGGGCGGGGATCTGGGCACCCGCAGGGGCTCGGCGCACTTCTCCAGCCTCGAGTCCGAAGTATGACGCGGCCCAGGGGGCCCCACTGTCCCCTCGGTCAGCGCAGGCCACAGCCCGAGGGGGCGCGCTCAAGAGACAGGACCCGCGTGGGTTGGGAAGGAAGGAATGGAACTGACCGTACCCCGCCTGGAGTAGCGTCCCCTTGCATTGGGGGAACCACGAGCCAGAGGGGATTTGGTTGCCCAGATCTCACCCAGCCTGAGAGCGAGGGAGCGGGAGGGGGCGGGGGGTCATGGAGCCCACCCGACTTTTTTTAAAACCCGACAAGGGCTTTTTAATGTCACCAGATGGGGCGGGAGGTGGGGGGGGTCACGCCACGCCCGCGCCCCGCCCCCACGCCCGGGGCCGTGGTCCCCACATCACTGTGCAGCTCCCCGGCCCAGCCACGCCTCCGGGGAAGCCCGTTTTTAACCTTTCATCCATCGGGACTCAAAACTGTGAGACGCGTTCGCCAAACTGTGACCCCAGACCTTGGCCCCGCCACACAGAAACCCCTGACCCCAGACTGTGACTTCCGACACCTAAAATGGTCATCCGACCCCAGACTGTGACCCGAACCCCAGACTGTGCCCCAACCAGACTGTGACCCTTGATGTCAAACCTTGACACCCCACCCCTCCTTGTTTTCCATTCTCGTTGGCTTTTTCCCTACTTTGACCTACGACCTGTTTCCAACGGAAGCCCCACCTTCCCCTGTCCCTCAGTGATCCCAAACCCCCTCAAGCCCAAACTTCCACCCTTCCCATCTCCCTACCACTCCAAGTGTCACCAACCACATCCTCTCTAAACCCAACCCTTGTGATCCTTCAGTGATGACCCAGCAGACCCCCCACCAAAGCCTCCTCTTCCCAGATCTCCAGCAGGGTCTGGGGCTGGGTTGTGGAGGGGAGGATCTTCACACTTCACCACCAACCTTCCTTCCACGCTCCTGTTCCACATCGCAGTGTTTGGAATAAACCATGTTTTTATGCCACCTCAGTCCAAGCCTGAGCTCTGTTAGTCCCCCTTAATTTCTCTGGAGAAAACAAACTGAGAAATGTCCCACAGGGGAAGAGGAGACAGAATCAGAACAGACTCTGAAGGGACGTGGAGAAAAAAACAAGGAAAAGGAGGTGGGAAAAGAACTGAGGAGAAAGAGGTCGAGAGTGGGCCAGGGCAGAGAGAGCCCTCAAAAGAGTGGTGAGAAAAATCCGGTATAGAGAAACATTTCAGGATCAAACTCAGGGTTCCATTTCCTATGGCCACAAGCAACAAGGCTTGCTAGATTCATAATGCCCTGCTCAGGCAAGCACGGAGAGTCTTATCACATCCCAGCCAATCGCCACCCTTGGACGCCGTTAATCTCACCAATGAGAATCTTTTTCTAACATTTCATTACGCCAATTAACCAAACTGCTGGTACCGATAGGTGATAAAGAGAGCCAACGCACTTGTAATAGCTGCCTCCAGAGGGTGGACTTTCTGAGTAAGTGCTGGCTGACCAGAGCTGCAGTGTAAACGCCTGGTTAGGCAATTGACTGTCCCTAGAGGGTAGATTTAACCGACTAACTTACACATAATATCCAGCCTGTCTACCTAGAGACTTTTGAAATAAATTAAAGCCATCATAACGGGGAGAGAAGAAGAAACCGGCTTTATGGGTCCTCAGGGAGCAGAAACTCAGTCACCCTGCCAGTAAGTGCTCGAGTTTGCATAGATGAATAATTAATTAAGTGGAAAGACAGCCCTGGGAATGAAAGGTGGAAGATGGAGGCGGGTTCGGAACTCTAGTAAATGGGGGTTGGGGGGCGGCCTCCTGTAAAACTACAACTCCCACGAGCCTTTGCCACAGCCACGGGAAAGGCGCCCTAGGTCACGCGGAACACAGTTTTTCCGTAGCCGCGGAGTCCTCTCCTGGGGCGCGGACGCTGTGTGTTAGTTATGGGTCTCTCAAGGCTCGGCTCCCTCTAATTGGTGGTCCGCGAGGTTTCCACGGCAACCGAGCAGTGGGCGGACCTTAGAAGGTAGGAAGCGAGACCCGGAAGTGACGCTCTTACCTCGCGACGGCAGCGAGAAGGGTGGAAGATGGCTGCGCGCAAGGGAAGGCGTCGCACGTGTGAGACTGGGGAACCCATGGAGGCCGAATCCCGGGACGCAGGTTCTGAGGGACCGCCCCAGGTCTACCTGCCCGGCCGGGGACCGCCGCTGCGCGAAGGAGAGGAGCTGGTCATGGATGAGGAGGCCTATGTGCTGTACCACCGTGCGCAGACTGGTAGGACTGAGGGCCCGGACTCCTGGGTCTTGAGGAAGGGACTGGTCCTGAGCATTAAACTTAAAAGAGGGCTGGGGTTGTGGCTCAGCGGTAGAACGCTTGCCTAGCATGTGTGACGCCATAGGTTCGATTCTCAGCTCCACATACAAATAAGTAAAAAAATTCATCAACAACTAATAAAAATGTTTTTTTAAAAGGGGGCTGGGGAGATAGCTCATTTGGTAGAGTGCTTGCCTTGCATGCACAAGTCCCCAGGTTCGAACTCCAGCACCACCAAAAAAAAAAAAAACCAAACAAACCTAGAACAGATGCCCAGAAAAAGAAAGCTGGTCGGGAGGCTGAGACAGGAAGACCGCCAATTCAAAGCCAGCGTCAGAAACCGCGCCAAACAACTCAATGAGACCCTGTCTCTAAATAAAATACAAAAAATAGGCTGGGGATGTGGCTTAGTGGTTGAGTGCTCTTGAGTTCAATCCCTGGTACAAAAAAAAAAAAAAAAGGAAAAAAAAAGAAAGTAAGCTGGGTTTAGGAGAGGTTATGTCACACAGGAGATGGTTGGTCCCTGAGGAAGGTGGAGGCTGAGATTGTCCCATCCTAAATCCTCTTTCCTTCTATCCCCAGGTGCCCCCTGTCTCAGCTTCGACATAGTCCGAGATCACCTGGGAGACAACCGGACAGAGCTTCCTCTTACACTTTATCTGTGTGCGGGGACCCAGGCGGAGACTTCCCAGAGCAACAGGTGAGTGAGATCCTTGGCTTTCTTTCCTGGGAGCAAGGGTCTGAGCTTCCACATACAGCTTCCTTCCTCAGAACCAAGGAGTTAGGGTTTCTGCCTCAATGGGACCCAAGAGTCTTGAGTTTCCAGCTTCCTTTTTGCCCTTTTTGTTTTTGTTTGTTTGTTTGTTTTTGTACCAGGGATTGAACCCAGAGGCACTTAACCACTGAGCCACACCCCAGCCTTTTTTTTTTTTTTTCTTCATGTTATTTAGAGACAGGGTTTCACTGAATTGCTGAGACTGGCTTTCAATTCATGATCCCCCTGCCTCACCCTCCCTGCTGGCATGACAGGCTTCCAGCCCTTTGCTGTAATTCTTGACATTCACTAACATCTTGATATTGACTGCCTGACTCATCCCATACCTCCTCCAGACTGATGATACTTCGAATGCACAATCTTCATGGGACTAAATCCCCATCCTCAGAGGACAGTGATGATGATGAGGAGGAAGATGAAGAGGATGAAGAAGAGCGGAAGCCTCAGCTGGAGCTGGCCATGGTACCTCACTATGGTGGCATCAACCGAGTTCGGGTACGTATAGTTCCAGTAATCTACTTTGCGTTCTCTGAGGATGTCAAACCCCACCATGTGCACAGATTTTTTGGGCACCTCCTCATGCCCTTCAACTTTTAGAAAAGTACTTGGCATGTGCCTTTGTAATTGTCATGTGCTAGGTACTGTTTTAAATTATGGTATTATTTATTATATCTTTTGCTTTCCTTATATGTAAAATGGTAAGAATTATAAAATTTAGCCTATTGAACTGATGTGAGGATAAAATGAAATAATGTATAGTGCCCTGGAAGAGCATCTGTTTTTAATGTGTGATATTTTTTGTTAAGTGATTACCTAGGTGTGGTTTTGGGATTTAGAGGTTTGTTTGCTTCACCGTTAAAAATATTGTGATCAAATAGGTGCACAAATAAAATGAGATAATACACTATGAAGAGCACTTAGAGCACTATCAACCCATAACTTGTCCTGTGTGTTTCCAGTAAGTTATTGCTATGCTTCAGATACTATCCTAAATGTTGAGCTTTTTTTTTTTTTTTTAATGGGTAAGCTGAAGTTTTCTAGCACACTTTAACAATGTTAAACACCTTTTGCAACTTCTTCCCTCCCACCTCTCTCAACCCATAAATGTTGAGCATTTAACAGCAGGCAAAAGTCTCTGGCCCTGTGAATTTACATGCTAGTGGGGAAAGGAATAAGAAGAAATTGATACCTGTGTAGTTTGTCATAAGGTGCTAAGTTTTGTGGAGAAGAATTTCAGTTAAGCAGGATAAGGGGGGTAGTGTTTCTGGCGTGGCGTTGCTATTTTAAAGAGCATAATTAAGAGTATTCAGTGAGCAGGTGCCCTTTGAATAGACCCCCAGGAAGTAAAGGAGTGAGCCCATGATGTCTGTTACAACAGATTTGCAGGCAAAATTTGCAGTAGAGTGTCAGCAGGAGAGGCCGAGAGAACAGGTTGGGAGTGTGCTTTTTTAGTGTAGCCCGCATGAGTATTGGATGTGAGAAAGAAGAAGCCAGGAGTCCTGAAGTTTTGGGCCTGAGATGGAGAGCACTTGGGGGAGTAGGCTGCAGTTGGTGGAAGAGGAAAGAGGTCAGGGTTAGGGGGTGCTGGAAATCAGGTGCGAAAGGACTTGGTTTTGTCATGTTTGATAGCTTTCAAGGGAAGCTGGGGAGACCAGGATATCTGGAATAGAGTGGTTGGGAGATGGTTGCAAGATCTGGAGGAGGGGCACAGAGGATAAAGATTGATTAGGCCATTAATAGGACTTGGATTTCAGGCTGGGCACAGGGGCACATACCTGTAATCCCAGTAACTCTGGAGGGTGAGATAGAAGGATGGTTTGAAGTCAGCCTTGGCAACTTAGTGAGGCCCTTTCTCAAAATAACAAGGGCTAGAAGTATAGCTCTGGTAGAGCAGGCCTGGATTCAATCCCTAGTACCACCCAAATGATTAAAAAAAAAAAAAGGACTTAGGCTTCTACTTGGGAAAAATTGGAAACCATTGGAGGCTTAGAGCAGAGAATGACAGAATCTCACATTTGTTTTAAAAGGCTCCCTCTGACTGCTGTAGAATTTAAAGGTTGAAGACGAGAGAAAGCTGTTAGAGTAATTCAAGGGAAAGATGAAATCACTAGAGAGTGAGTGTCAACAATAGAGGTCAAGAGAACATGTTGGGAGTGTGCTTTTTTAGTGTAGCCAGCATGAGTATTGGATATGAGAAAGAAGAAACCAGGAGTCCTGAAGTTTTGGGCCTGAGATGGAGAGCACTTGGGGGAGTAGGCTGCAGCTGGTGGAAGAGGAAAGAGGTCAGGGTTAGGGGGTGCTGGAAGCCTTGAGGCTGGATGATATCTCCCAGTGAGCAAACACACAGGGTCAAAATGATCTGAGGACTGACCCCTGTGATCCCTCAGCATTTGGAAGATGAAGAAGAGCGGAAGCCTCAGCTGGAGCTGGCCATGGTGCCTCACGGTGGCAGCATCAACCTAGTTTGGGTCCATTGTGGCCCCAGCAGAGTCTGATCGCGCTCCTAGAGCGGGCAGGAGTTAGCCAGCCACGATTCCCAGGCGTCTCAGAGCTTTGTGCCCTCACCCACACTACCTACCTCTGCTATAGTCTGGGGAGTTGATCCAGTTACAAACTGGTCTTGCAGGTTGTGATCTCTTTCCTACAAAGGTTTTGGGGAGTTAGTAGTGCCAACACTGGGGTATCTGAGGAACTGTAGTTCTGAATCTCAGGGCTGCTGGGAGCTTGTGGTCCCACCCTGAGCCTCCTATTCTCTATTTCATGCACCCCTCTCCCACAGGTGTCATGGCTAGGTGAAGAACCTGTGGCTGGAGTGTGGTCAGAGAAGGGCCAGGTGGAGGTTTTTGCACTGCGGCGGCTTCTGCAGGTAGTAGATGACCCCCAGGCCATGGCAGTCTTCCTCCGGGATGAGCAGGCCCGAGTGAAGCCTATCTTTACCTTTGCTGGCCACATGGGTGAGGGCTTTGCCCTGGACTGGTCTTCCCGGGTACCTGGTGAGTCCTGGGGTTTTCACATGGTTTGGGGAGGTGTGAGGGAACAAGGTCCACAGCAGGAGGGGGTAGTTAGACTCCAATGAGGGCAGGGAGCTATGGACAGGTGGGGTGAGGTAGTTTCCTGACTCCCCCAGGTCGTTTGCTGACTGGTGACTGTCAGAAGAATATTCACCTCTGGACACCTTCAGATGGTGGTTCCTGGCATGTGGATCAGCGGCCATTTGTGGGCCACACACGCTCCGTGGAGGACCTGCAGTGGTCCCCAACTGAGGATACGGTGAGGGAGGACTTGGGGGCTTAGATACCTGGGGTGATATGGGGCAGGATAGGGACCTGGAGTCCTTGGGAGGAGGGGACTGAACTGGGGTCTGAGAGATTCTGTTTGTAGGCTAAGTCCTAATCAGGGGCGTATAAAGACAGTAGCTGGTAGATGAGTTCCTTTCTTCAGGGAGGGTTGGAGGTACATCTGAGCACTCAGAATTATTCCACTTGTTCAGGTGTTTGCCTCTTGCTCTGCTGATGCCTCCATTCGCATTTGGGACATCCGGGCTGCCCCTGGCAAGGCCTGCATGCTCACCACAGCCACTGCCCATGATGGGGATGTCAACGTCATCAGCTGGAGTCGCCGGGAGCCCTTTCTGCTCAGTGGTGGGGATGATGGGGCCCTCAAGGTCTGGGACCTGCGGCAGTTCAAGGTATTTTCCCAGAAGTCACCAGGATCTGTAGATTTTTCCCTCCTAAAATAGTCCAGTCCAGCCTCTTTTGGCGGGGGCAGGATGTACCAGATTGAACCCAGCAGCGCTTAACCACTGAGCCACATCCCCAGCCCATCTTTTTATTTTTTACTTAGAGACACAGTCTCACCAAGTTCCCGAGTCTGGCTTCCAGGAGTTGTGGGTTGTGTTTTAGTAGATTTTACAGCATTGGCCAAGTAAGAATTGGGGTTCTCCTCACTCATTGCAAGGGAGGAAACTGGGCACTGAAAGGACAGGAGCAGAAGTAATGTCACAGCTAAGAGGCCCCCTAGGCAGGAGAAACCGCAGCGTCTGATGTCCCTCTAGATGGAGCCAGGGCATCACCTGTCTGTCCTTCCTGCACCACCACGTCGTAATTCTTTTTGCCCTTCAATTTAATCAACTCTGTAGAATCACTCTAGGGAAGCTTCCAGGCCAGCAGGCCCAGAGCCATTAATGGACCAGTCCCAGCTAGTGAGATGCCCGTTCCAGCAGCACCTCTGCCCAACACAGGTGCTGTCATCCTTTGATGACTACCTGGAGCTTTGGGGAGCTGTGCTACTGCCCTATTGAGGCCTTGGCCTTGACCAGTGAGGACAGCACTAGGAGACCACCCCTCCTTTATGAGAAGGGAAAATGAGGCAGTTGAAGGGTGGGCAGGGGCAGTGCTCCGGTGTCCCAGAGCTGAGAAATGCTTTGCAGATGAAGCCACAGCCCCTGGGACTGCTGCTGTCCTTTGTGCCATCTACCTTTTGTGGGCTTGGGGCTTAAGGGTAAATGCCGTGTGTGAACCCTGATGCTCAGGCTGAAGTGTTCAGAGCCCTTGACTCCCATCTTTTCTCACAGTCTGGCTCCCCAGTGGCCACCTTCAAGCAGCATGTGGCCCCTGTGACCTCTGTTGAATGGCACCCCCAGGACAGCGGGGTCTTCGCAGCCTCAGGTGCAGACAACCAGATCACACAGTGGGACCTGGCTGTGGAGCGGGACCCTGAGGCAGGCGACGTGGAGGCTGACCCTGGGCTGGCGTCCCTCCCGCAGCAGCTGCTGTTCGTACACCAGGGTGAGACGGACCTGAAGGAGCTGCACTGGCACCCGCAGTGCCCGGGGGTCCTGGTCAGCACCGCTCTGTCTGGCTTCACGGTATTCCGCACCATCAGCGTCTGAGGCAACCCCACGGCCTCCAGCCCTGCCTTTTACCTGGGAACTGAAGCTGAAGTTGGTTTGCCTGGAAGGGGTTCATTCAGGTCTCTTGAGTAGCCTCCCAAAAGAAGGGCTTAGTTTAACTGGCCCATGGAGAGCAGAAAAGATGGATTCTGCTCCCTTGAAGGACTTGGTTTGACTCTGGCTGTGCGAAGCCATGCCACCAAAGATGATTCCAGCAAAGACCTCCACCCATCAGAGCACTTGATTAGCCAACTGGCTTGAATATGGAATTCTTGTCAGCTTTGTCACCTGGCTTGACCCTTTGACCTCTGCCCCAGGACCTAGTTTTGACTATTGGTCTCTCCCCCAGGGACTTCAAGGGCTTTACCATGGCTGGACCAACTTTGAGGTATGGGCTCCTCTGGTGGAATTTGGTTCTGCGCCTTGTCTTCACCTTGTCTTCCAGCCAGCTGGGTTTGGCCAGGAATTCCCAGTGAGGGGGTCTGTAGGGAGCCCTCTCCTCCCTGAGCTGAGGGCTGGTACTATTGGGGGAGGAAGATAAAAGAGGCAATAAAGGACCCAAATGAGGACTGAAGTGCTGTTGAGAATCTGGTCCTTCCAGCCCCATCCCTGCAAGAACACTGAAGTGGCTAGAGAGGCCAAAGGTGGCACCCAGTTTTCCTAGGCTGCTGTGCTTGTGTCTCCCCCCCCCCCCCCAGCAGCTGCTGGAGGAGGCTGTAGGATGACACTGCTCTCTGCAGTCCCACCCTCAACCCCTGGGTGCTATTCAGTTCTGCTTCCCCTGAGTTTTATTAATCTGCAACTCACTCTGGATGGGTGAAAGTGTCTTATAAATGCTTTGCCACTTACTATAGCTTCATGGGGGGGGGGGCAGCAAGTAAGCCACCCCTTCTCTGTCTCCTTCACCTCATTACTTCTTTGTGTTCCCTAAACTGCTGTACTCCCTCCCTATCTTTCCATGTCTCCTTGCCCCAACTGCTGCCTCCCTGCCCCCCACCCATTCTTGGCTACCATCTCCTCTCCAGCCTGCCTGGGCTGCAGCCCAGCCGCCCTGCCTGGCCAGCCTCCCTGGCCCCCCCTCCGCAGCTCTGAGCTGGCCTCGCTCCCGCCCCCTCTACCCAGTCCTCTGATCTGCTATGGACTCAGGTTGGGTGCCCAGCTCAGGCCCTGGAGGCTGAGAACAGACCGCAGCCCCTCAGCCCAGGCAGAGGAGCCCCCAGCACAGGGCATGGGGGTGGGCCGCCTTCCCAGGTATGTGCCTCCATGCAAGGTTGGGCCTGAGAGCCAACACCCCCACCCTTCCCCTGCGCCCCATCCCTCCCCACCATCTCAAGGGTGCTCTAGCCCGGGAGACCTCCCCACCCTACAGTCCACCCTTGGTTCCTGCCTTCTCACCACTCCGTCCTGTCAGGCAGCCCCTCCTTGCCCATCTCTTTCTGTTTCTTAAGACATGATCTCCATACTCTTTTCCCCAATTGCTGTTGTCTGCCTGCCTCTTTCTGTCCCTGCTCCCTTTGGGTCTCTGACCCTCTCTCTGTCCCTCTCCGACTCAGCCCCCTCTTTGAGTTTCTGCACCTTCTCTGGGTCGGTCTGTCTCAGAGCTCCTTCTCAACGCTCCTTCCTGCCCGGCTCTGAGTCTGCTGCTCTGTCTGCCTCAGCCCCACACTCGTTGCTATCAGTCTCTGGGTCAACTTGCTGTCCAGACCCCATTCATTGGGGGAAATGGGGGGAGACTCCTTGGTTTCAGGGGAAGGCTGAAGGTGTGTGTACATTTGTGGGGGACAAGCTAGTACCCAAGGGCGGGGCCTCTTAGCCCCAGATTAAACAGTGACTTTGACACGAAGTTGAAGCACCTTAAGCCCTGTCTCCTTTATATGGAAACATTAAGCTGCTCTCGCGGGTCAGGTGGAGGATTGGGGGGAGCTTTGGGCTTGGGATTTCTTTCTCCCATCCTGCCTTTGCAGGGGGAGGAGGAGGACGTGGTGTCCTGAGTCTGAGTCGCATTCACCAGCCTGGGAGCTGGGCCATGTTGGCTGCAGACAGGGCCCTGTGCGATGGACATAGTCAGATCTGCCCCACAGGGTGAGGTGGCACCACAGGATTGAAGAACAGACTCTTGGGCAGAAAGACTCAGGACCCAAAGCAGCTTCCCACCCCTGCAGCCTGTGGCCCAGCAGGGCCTTGGTCCTCACTAACTCTGCTCCTTGGCTGTGAAATGAGATAATGAACTTGACCTCCCAGCATCCTGAGCAGTCAAGGTGAGCCATGGGGGCTGTCAGATTCAGTGGGCTGGCTGTAGACATCCCTTGTAAGTGCCCAGGAAGCTGGCTGAGGTGTGTGGCTGGGACTTGGGCACTTCAGAGGCCTGGGTGGGAATCTAGATTTTGGCATTTTGGCCCCTTCCTGGCCGAGGGACCCACAACAAGGACTTAAAAAAAAAAAAAAAAAAGCCCTGGTTGCTTTCCTGTGAATGTGGAAGGGTCATGGGTAGAGCAGGTGCCAGGACCCAGCAGGGAGCAGTGCACGCTGCAGCCCTCTTCCCAGCCTGTCACTGGGAGACACCAGAGGGGGACTAGTGCAGGGAGGATTTTCTGGGTTTGGGATCGTTGCACATGGCATGGCGTGTCCTGGACCCTGCAGATCTGCGTTTTGGGCAACTCCATGAGTCTGCTTCCCCTTTCCAGGAGAGCAGTCTCTAACGCCCAGGATGCTGAGGTGGCGACAGGTTGGGACACATTGTGGGCACTGGAGGCAGCCCAGCCCATCCACTCTGGCTGACCAGGTGGATCCTGGAGGCCAGGAGGAGGGGGACGTGGTGTCCTGATGAGGCCATGCAGAGCTCTGGGAGACAGGGGGATCTTGCTAGCAAACAGACAGTCCTCAGATGGAGTGTCCCAGGCTAAGACACCCATGGGGATCCCCAGAGACTGGCCTTTTTGGCCCATAGCTCAGTACAGGGGTGCTGGATAAATGTTTATGGAAATGTGTAGGAACTGTTTAACCCCTGGTAGCCCTTGTCCCAGCCACACCAGGTACTAGTTAACCTTGCAGTTGCTGAAGGGTGTGAGGTATGCCGGCCTGTGCCCAGCCCGCCTCTCCTGCCCTCTGCCCTGCTGGGCTGTGGGGATTCCCTTCATTTCCTGGAGGAGAGAACTGGGGCTGACGTGCAGCTGACTTTTCAAAAGTCCCAGGTCTTTAGACCCCTCTTCCTTTCAGCTGAGGGTCCATTCCACAGATGAAGAACTTGAGAAACTTGAGAAAAGAAGCCAGGGATTTGAGATACATGAGGGGTCAGCAACTGACCCGGAATCAGGTCTTGGATCTTTAGGATGGGGAGGTACTTCCTGACTGATGAAGTCCGAATTTCTCTATTTTACAATGAACTCAACAAACCCAGAGAGATTTGCCCCAGATCAGAGAGTCATAGCTGCACTAGTCTGTTCATGTGGGAACAGCTCCACTGGTGTGTGACTCATATGCCACACCTTGCCCCACACTTGTGCAGTGTGCTTAGTAGATTCACAGGTGCACAGCTGTCACCCCTAAGTAATTTTTAGAATATTTTCATCACTCCCAAAGAAATCCCATGTCCTGTCATGTCCTAATCTCCCATCTCCCCAGAATGAGGCACCTATCAGTCTACTTATTTTTGTTGTTGTAGATGAACACAAACCTTTATTTTATTATACATATATATATATATATATATATATATATTTTAATATTTATTTATTAGTTTTCGGCAGACACAACATCTTTGTTTGTATGTGGTGCTGAGGATCGAACCCGGGCCTCACGCATGCCAGGCGAGCGCGCTACCACTTGAGCCACATCCCCAGCCCTTATTATATTTTTTAATGTGGTGCTGAAAATCCAACCCAGTGCCCCACGTGTACCAGGCAAGTTGTTTACCACTGAGCCACAACCCCAGCCCCTCAGTGTGATTTATTAATTTACAGCCTTGTCTGTTCTGGACATCTTAAATACAGCCATCCTTGGCATCCACGGGATTTGTACCAGGATTCCCTGTGATACCATCATCCTCAGATGCCCAAGTGCCTTGTATAAAACGGTGTACTATCTGCATACAACCTGCACACATCCTCCCGGGTACTTAAAATCATCTCTAGGTTCACTATGTTATATGGTATTGCGTAGAGAAAAATGACAAGGAAGAGAAAGTTTTTGTCTGTACGTATTCAATACAGAGGAAATGTTTTTCCTGATATATTCTATCTAATTTTGATTGAATTCATGGATGCAGAAGCCGTGGTTACAGAGGGCTGACTATAAATGGAATCATACCATACATGGCCTTGGCAGTTGGCTCCTCTCCCTTAGAATGTTCTCAAGGTTCATCCTTATTGTTGCATGTATCTCATTTCTTTTTATTGTCAAGTACTGTTCTTTGGAGGAACATACCACATTTTTAATCCATTCATGAAATGCTTTTGTGAATGGTGCTACTAGGAGCATTTGTGTGCAAGCTTTTGTGTGAACATTTGTTTTCATTTTTCTTGGGTACACAGATACCTAGGAGTGGCATTGTTGGGTCACAACGTAACTCTTTGTTCAGTCACTTAAGGATCTGCCAGACAGGTTTCCACAGGAGCTGCACAACTTGACATTCCCACCAGCAGTGTATGAGGGTGACAGTTTGTTTACATTCTCACCAACACTTGTTATTTTATTTTAGTTTTTTTAATAACTATCTTAGGTTCATTGTGTGGAGAGCTGTTTCTACTTAATTTTTATTTTTTAATGCTGAGGATTAAACCCAGGGTCTCAAGAATGTGAAGCACACATTTTCCCACTGGGTTAATTACATTCCTGGCTTCACTGTGTGTGTGTGTGTGGGGTTATGTTTTGTTTTGGTACTGGGGATTGAACCCAGGGGTGCTTAACCTTGAGCCACATCCTAGCTCTTTTTTTTTTTTTTTTTTTTTTTTTTTTTTTTGCGATTTTAGAGACAGGGTCTCACTGAGTTGCTTAGGGTCTCCCTAAGTTGCTGAGGCAGGTTTGGAAGTTATGATCCTCCTGCCTCAGTCTCCTGAGTCAATAAGATTACTTGCTGTGGTAATTTGTGCTTCTCTAATGCCTAAGTAACATTCCCTGTGCTTTTTGGCATTCATATGTCATTGGAGAAATTATATAGATCCTTTGCCCACTTTTAAATTGGATAATTTGTCTCTGCAAATATTGCAACTTAGTGCTGGACATTTTAGAGCAGATACATGATTTGCAACTATTTTCTCCCATTGGTGGTTTGTTTCACTTTCTTGAAGTGTTCTTTAAAGCACAAGTTTCTCATGTATCTATTTTTCCCTTTGTTGCTTGTGCTTTTGGAGACTATTTTTGAGCAACAGCTGACCTCAGAGCCCAGCTCATCTCTTCATGCTGAGAATAGAGCTCAGCCTCTGAGGGGTGGAGACTGGAAGCTATTCTGCTACATTCAAATCCCAGCTCACTTTGGTGAGATTATGGGCAAGTTATTTCAGTTTCCTGTACCCAGTTTCCTCGTCTGTAAAATGGGCATAATATCTACTTCGAAAGTTTTCTGTGGGGCTAAGTATA